ATGGAGTTTGGTATTGTTCTGCATATCAATTAACACCTCTGGATTGGGGCAAAAGGGTCATGAAGGTATATCCTGCCAAATTGCCTTGTCTGGTTGCGAACGTGTTTGGCTAAGCTATGAAATAAGTAAAAAGTTAATTCTAACCTTTTGTTTTCATACTTGTTTCTGGTAGTGGCTTTTTTTTCCCCTTACTAAAAGGTTACGTAATTTGAAAGAAACTTTTATCATGCTTTAATTGCACCTCACACATGAGCAAGGTAGGACATTACTCCGACTGCAGTTTCCTTATGCAGTAGCATCATCATGCAGTGGCAGGAGTTTATCTTGCTGAGAGGCTTAATAGTTTCTTGGCTGGAAACTGGAAAAGCTTTGCAGGCCAAAATTATTTCGACCCACGTGGACTTTTTCTCTCCATACTCTGGTCTGGGCCATTGTTGGTGATTGCAATCATAATCCTGGTCAGCGTTCAATAACCTATAGTTGCATGTTTGACTTAGAAGATAGAATATTATTGAACAGTATAATGAAAAATAAATTTGTTTCAATAGCCTGCAATATTCTATACCAAATGTGCTCATATTTTTCGTGTTGGTTTCTCACCTGAGCAATTTATGCTTCACTTTCTATTTGCAGGTGAACACCTTATTTTCACTTTGTCATCTGATCGTTAGATGGAAAAGGGCTGAACTCAGACATCGAACAAGACTGGCTCGTAGTAAAGAGGATTGAACTGGCTCGTGTTGGTTCCTATATTGATACCTCGGGTTAAGTGTTGAAGGTTCACCGGAAGCTTGTACTTTTGTTTCTCCTACTCTGCTGTGTTCTATTTCAGGAGGAATTTGGTTCAAAATGAGACGAAGGATCAGTTTACCGTTAGCTTCATCGTGAGTTAATTAGGACATACTATAATCTACTATTTTGATGAACCATCTGCTCGTGTAAGGGAAGGAAAAAATTAACTTTTTGGGTCACAATTTGATTGTGTTCACCATTTTATTATTTTTGGTGTCAGTGATTATGGCAATGGCATTTTAAATTAATATATATGACTACAATGCGAGATGTTAAATTTATCAACGGCTGGTAATTTTTGGCGAGTCCATTATTTAAAATGGTTAGAAGTTGTTTGATTATTTCCATTTTTTTATTATTTTCAAGATTTGTATAACTTTTCATTAAAGAGTCTAAATGCCATTATTTAATTGGGTCAATTTTAATGATTTTTAAGTGTATAGGTACCTAGTTTGCAATTTCAATTAAAGAGGATATGTTTTCCTTGAAAGTTGGCAAATGTTTTCGTTTTCCAACCATTTCTCTGGTTTGATGGACAAAATTTGGCTTGGAATTTCGGTGGGAAAATGAATTCCAGCTTTCTGGCCCTATTTTTTTTTCAATGGAAATAAATTTCATAATTAATTGTAAAAAAGAAATTTCATTTTAATGGACAATTTTCATGTAAAACGAAGCCAAACGAACACTAAAATTTGAAGAAAAAATAGTTTTCGAGCAATTTTTTTTTTTTTTTTTACTTTTTGACAATAGTAACAAATTTCATAATCAATTGTAAATTTTTTTTTTTTTACTTTAATGGACAATTTTCATGTAAAATAAAGTCAAACGTGAATAAAAAAATCCCAAATTTCAAAATTTTTCCGGGTGAAAAATTATACTAATCAGACACTAATTAACAATTCCCTGGAAAACAAATTCTAGACAATTAGGTGCCGTTCTCTTTGCCGTTTTCGGGCCATTTTCTGTTTTCGATTTTCCAAAACGGTGAAAACGCGTTCTTTTTGCTATTTCTGAAAACACGTTTTTGAAAATGGTATAATTTTTTACACACAAAACACAAAACGTGGTTTTCCACGTTTTGTGATTTTTCAG